ACAGCTAGTGATCTGGCATAGATTTCATAGAAGGAAAGTTTTGATTGTCTCAATCTAAGGTTATAATTGATTGACAACCTAACATTATGACAAGTATGCATTACAACGGATAAAACTCTACTTATGGAAACCAAAATTCTGATTGTATGGGCAACCAGAATCAGCGGGAGTCAGATTTTGTCAACCGACGGTTACTCAATCCATTTTATACAAATCTGTCCAAGATGAAGATTGGAAGATGATCCTCTGAAGACTGTCCAACAGCTAGTTTGGAAGTGGAGGAGTATAAAAGGAGATCTACGAGGAGCAGAAGGTGTAGAACGAAATCGAGAATCAACAAGTCCAAAGTCTGAGCATACTCCAATCCTTTCTCTTGTCTTTCTTGAGCTAAACACTAAGATCTTGAGGGATACTTTGTAAAAACGAGTGTGTTAGATAGAGAGTACTATCATACACAAGAGTTCTATCACTTAGAATCTGTAATTCCTCTTGATTACATAGTAAAATCCAACCAGTAGATTGTCAGCATGGGAGAATGGACGTAGGCTTGCTATAAGCCGAACCACTATAAACTTGTGTGTAGTTTTTCTATCCCTTATTTCTTGCTTTACATACTGCACACCAAGAGCACTGTCTATATAAACTGTTTTGAATCTGAATTTTATTCAGACTCTACTGTGATCAATCATTTCCGCTATAAATTGATCAAAATTGTTTAAAATCACATATTCACCCCCCCCCTCGAGGTGATCCTTGCTAATTACATCATTATCTTATTCAAATTTTCTTCCCTGATGTGCACAGATGATCACCACTCTTATTTAGTGATCCACCAGATCTTCATGGCCATGTTCACGCTGATCACCACTCTTGTTCTCTGATCTATTCTTCCTGTGTTCCCTGATGATGTCCTCCAAAATCCTGTTGGACTCTTAATCTTAGGCCTCATCCTGCTCACAACGTGCAGAAGCTTCACTGAGGGAAAAGGGTCGGCAATCCCGAAACCTCCTGCAAACTTGATCACCTCCTTCACAACCCTGAGGAACCTCTCCTGCTCCTTTCACTTCTTCCTGAATGCTGCCCTCGACGTCATGCAGCACTGGGACGAGTAGATCTTCTCGGTGAGGTTGACGATCATCCTAGCACTTGATGCGATCCACCACACTAGGTTCAACATCTTGTCCTCCCGGATTGACGGGTAAAAGAGCATCCTCATGGAACTCAGGAGCTCTAGGATGCAGATTTTCCTAATTGCCTCAATTGTTGACCATAGCATGCAAACGCGATGCTTGTGCAATCATAGGAGATGATGCTGGAGGCAATGATTGGTGGCCTAGAGGCAAAGATCACATCATGGTTCTTCAAGACCTCCTTGGCGGTCTCCGGCGATGAACATGATCATTGAGACTTCACCCATCTTGAGTTGCATCAACACGCCATATTTCTTAGCCAATTTGCTCAGCGCCCAGTGCGGATTTGGGCCGCCAAGCTGGTGCATATTGCCTATGGTGGGTTGCTTCCCTAGACCTGGAGGGAGCTTTCTGGTTGAGCCTTTTGGGTTTGGTTTTTTCTTGACAGTCTTAGAGTGCCATGAGGATAAAGAGGAGGAAAGAGAAGACAACTGGGAAAGTGAGCCGGAGATCCATGAGGGACTAGGGGGGTACTGTGATGAGACGAGTGGGCAAGTTAAGCACGCGCGCGTGTTGAGGTTTCTGGAGGAGCTACACAGCTCACACATAGGCATTTTTGGGTGGTACTCTTATGTAACAAGCATATAATTGCATTCTTCATGTTTCTTCCCCATCATTATTGTTGATAAACGATTGTAACCTTAACAACCCTTGTAACACGAGTTAAAAAAGACGAGCAAGTGGCAAATTCTTTTTTTAATAAATAAACCTCCTTTTTCACCTCACAACCATATAATTGCATTCTTTATGTTTCTTCCTTAACTTTTGGTTGTTGATAGAATAACCTTAACGGCCCTTGTGCCAATTAATTACGAATGTGTCAACAGGTGAAGGTAGGCTGACAAGGCTTGGGAAACAGGTACAGATCAAGCTTCCTCCTCTGAGTCACACCCAGTGACTCACTCATCTCCAGCTCTTCACTCTTCATCCCCTCAGGAAGCTCCCAGTCAAAGTGATTCAGCAACATTGCAAGTGGAAGCTCCACATTCGCAAGCCCAAAGTTCATCCCTGGACATATCCTCCTTCCTGCACCAAATGGTACGTACTCAAAGCTAGTCCCTTTGTAATTAATTGGGCTGTTCTTGAACCTCCCCAGGTAAAAAGCCTCGGGGTCGACCCAGCGCTTGGTGTCTCTCCCGATCGCCCACACATTCACAACCACTTCGGTCTTGACTGGGATCTCATAGCCATTCATCTAGCACGTCTATGCATTCCCCTAGGAGCAGCAAGGGAATAGAAGGGTAACATTCTCAAGCATTTTTTTATTACCAACTTCAGGTACAATAGTTCGGGCAACTCCATCTTGTCCACTTTGCCTCTCCTGTTGAAGACTTCTCTCACCTCGGCCTGCACCTTTTTGAGGACTCTTGGGTTCTTCATCATGTCGGCCAATGTCCAATCCACCCGCCTGGCTGACGTCTCAATCCCGGTGGTGAAAATGTCCTCCATGCACATTTCGAGTTCCATTATTGTTAGAATAACATGAATTTTAATGTTTAGCCTTGACAAAGAAAAGCTTGACTCAAAATATCCAATAGCATGGTACAGCATCAAAGTTATATCGAATCTTATTAGTCTCTGGGTTCATTATTCGACCAACTCAAACTTCGACTTTGTTCTGAAGTCAAAATCCAACTGATTTGGAAACTAGCTGCAGTTCATTTTACTGAGGAAAATTGAGCATGATGAAATTGATGTTGTCAGTGGTCAGAGAAAATTCAGGACCGCCGGATCAACAAAGCTCAAGAGAACATCAACCAACTCATCATGTGTTGTTTCATCGCCGCTTCTCTTAGCCCTCCCTTCTCTCTTTTCTCCAATGATGTTGTCATAATCCGGTCTGCTTGCTGATCCAACTTTTCCAATCGCGGCCTCATCCCACTAATCACATGAAGCCACTTCGATGAGGGAAACACGTCCCCAACCTTGAAGCACGCAGACAATCTAGCTGCTCCTTGCATGTCTTCCCAAAAGCTGCAATCGAAGTAGTTCCGTAATTCGTCAAGAATAGTCTCTGCGTAAGATTGATGGGAGACCCGCATTAGAGGTGATCCATTTGACGAGATTCAAAACCTCTTCTTCCCTTATATGCCTAAAAGAGTGGACCCTCTTGGCACTCAAGAGCTCAAGAGTGCAGATTTTTCTAAGTTACCTCCAGTATTCGCTGTAAGGCATGAATGCAATGGCAGTGGCTCTGTAAGACATTAGTTTGGTTGCAAGAAGCTGAGGCCTAGTTGCGAAAGTAAGGTCGTGGGTCTTCATCACCTCTTTGGCCACTTCGGCTGAAGAAATTACCACAGAGAAACTTCCCCAAGCTGCAAATGCATCAATGGCCCATATTTCTTGGCCAAGTGTCACAACACACGATGAGGCGGTGGCCCAAGAAGCTGGTGCAAGTTTCCTATGAGAGGGACTCAGACCAGTAGGAAGCTTCGAGAGGTCTTTCGTATCGGACTTGTGACCAAATTTTAGTACAGTGAAGATGAAGATGAAGGAGGAGACTATGATTGGAAAGGCAGAAACTTGGAATTCCATTAGGGAAATGAAGGAAAATGACAAAGCTGCCTTTCTGGAGATGCATTGCTGATGATTAGCTTATGAACTCTTTTGGAGGGGTTAAAGCTGCTTCTGAGAAAACTAAACTATAAAAGTTTATATTGTAGCTTAACGAGTTGGGATCTTTGTCCCAATGATGGCATATTCTGACAGATTTGTCACCATCGTAATGCAAACATCCGATGAATGCATTATAAATGACCACCCTAGTATATTGGAAGCGTCTTTGGTGGGTGATTTATGTCTGATGCTTCCTAGGTCTTTGTAAAGTTCTATGTAGTACTTTTCTGCAGTCTCTTAAAATCTGACAATGTGAATCTAATCAGTTCATATCACGCATATTGTTTGTTAAAGCTAACACCCTAAGGCATGTCTCTCCCATTTGACTTGTGGAGCTTGAGATGTGGTTTTAGCTCTAGCTTAATAGTTGTTTCCTTCAAGACAATACCTAATGTATGGTAACTGGCAAGAACATGAAAAGAACAAGATTCTATGCTGAATTAATTCAGATGTAACTGATTTTAGCAAAGAAATGTTTTCGAAAGGTTTCTCCCAGAAGCACCCGACAAATGAACAGCCGAAAGGTTTCAGACACTTTGACTCACCTTACGAACAGCCAAAAGGTTTCTCCGAGTAGCACCTGACGAATTGGTGATCTTTAACTATTCACTAATTTTCGCCTAAGCAAAAGGAAACGGTTTATTCTCATGGATTGGCCCCGATTACCACGGTACCAACAACACCAGCTATGCAAGTCTGTTCTAAGATTGCCTACGGCCCCAGCACGACCATCTAATTTGGCACTTCTATATAACCTGCAAGACATGATTTTGAGTAGAGGACTCCACATAAAACTCCGAATTGATTTACTCCACAATACGATTTCATTCACGTGGGTCAAAAACTCTCACCCGGATGGGATCCTCAAAAAGTTTTTCTACCTTCCTTTGCCTGGGCCACGTTCCGTATATTAACTCAACAGTTGCTAAAAGGAAAGTCCTTAGACTTGTGGTGGGTTATCCAATAACTGATTCTCAAGGCAGAAAACTCTTTTGGGTCCTGCTTTGGTTTGATTCATTCTTCTCATAGAGTGTTTTTTCCTCTTCAATCCACTAGCTCGTAAAACTCGCTCTTCGAATCAATCCACATTGATAGACACTGCAAGGAGAGCAGGTTCTAGAGAAAATCACTCCAGTCCTTTCTGTGGTGAATCGATAGAATCATAACAAATATATCGGAGATTAGAAGGTACAATTGTCATCAAAGTTCAAGCTGTGCCATGTCATATGCCACATTGCATCACATGCGTTATTATAACAAATATACATCCACGCATTTAATAGAGAAAAAGCTCATCAAAATTAAGCAAGGTGAAGCTCGTTACAAACCTATGAAAACTTAAGTTACATGGCCAGTGCTATATCTAGTCAATTTAGTAGCAGCAAATAGTCAGCACCAACCACACAATCCAGGACTATTTAAGAAGAGATTTATGCTTGACCCATAAAATCAGCTCATCAACTAAACGTTTCAAATGCATCTGAATTTGATTCTCGCTAAATAACATAGTCAGACCACTCAGATATATGTGAAGTATGATCCATTGTGAGGCCAGGAATCTTATCGAGCCTAACTGGGTTGTCCTTGCCTCCCACCAACCTCGCAGGGTTCCCGACTGCAGTGGTCTGAGGCGGCACGTCCTTCAGCACTACCGACCCGGCTCCAATCTTCGCTCCATCTCCGATCCTGATGTTCCCCAGAATGCAAGTACCAGCCCCGATCAACACCCCATCACCGATCTTCGGGTGCCGATCACCAGACACTTTGCCGGTCCCTCCCAATGTCACATTGTGCAAAATGGACACATTGTTCCCAATCACAGCCGTCTCGCCAACAACAAGGCCCGTCGCGTGATCGAAAAGCAACCCTCTCCCGAGTTTCGCTCCGGGATGGATGTCGACCGCGAAAACTTCGGAGACCCTGTTCTGTATTAGCAGCGCAATGACCTGCCTCCCCTGTGACCACAGCTTGTGAGCCACCCTGTGAGTCTGGCACGCAAGAAACCCCTTAAAGTTCAAAAAACAGTGCACATAGCTCACGCAAGCAGGGTCTCTCTCGTGCACTGCTCTCAAATCTTCCTTCACAGACTTCACAATTTCTCGATCCTCTGCGAGCACCCCATGTAACAGCTCGTACAGAGTCCCCCTGGGAAGGCTCAAATTGCTCAGCTTGATCGACAAGTGACTGGCCAACGCGCTTTCGAGCGAATCCTGCGAAAGTATAGAGCTTTCATAGTAGTTGGACAGTATGGGCTCGTGAGAGACATCTGAGCGAGCCTCTTCTCGCATCCTGAGCCACACGTTTTCTTCGTCTTCGTCTTGGTCGCGGCATTTGACGACCTCGCTTGCGTGCGTGGTCTTACCTCGGTTCTGCGAAACGGGCATGCTCGGAACGGGGCCAGAAATTCTGGGTCGGCATAAATTCGCCAACTTGAGGTTGTATCTGCGCTCGCCCGAGCTTGGGTCGCGGGAAAATTCGCGAGTCTCTGTTCTCGGAGTGTCGTCGACGCAGGCGGCCATGATGTCAGAGTGGGGAAGCGAGGTCGGCTTGGTTTGAGAGGAAGATGAAGGTGATGGTGGGAGTGGAAGAGATGCGCGTAAGGATCGGAGGTGATTGCGGATGGAGAACCGGGTCTGGAGAGAGAAGCCAGGGGAGGCCTTACAATACATGATGAAGATGGAGCCACTACGACCAGACTTTTTCATGGAAACTGAGATTTTCTCGGGAAAACTAGTGCATATATTTGAGAGGATAACGAAGATATACCACGTAGAACCGACACCGACACGCGACCTCCACCCACCACGACTTCTTCCTTCTTCCCCCCAACCCACGCACCACCACTTCTTCTCTCATCGAGCTATCATTACACCATCAAATCCGACGCTAAGACAAACGATAGAAAAACCAGAGCCCGTGGTTGGAGCACTCGGCAGAAACAGAGAGAGGTGTACCTGTTACCTGGCTGCAACGGCGACCGGCGACCGGCGACCGGCTTGGAGAGAGCCTCGCGGTGGACCGGTGGTCGACGGAAAGAAGAAAGAAGAGAATTTGAGATGGGGAGGTCGTCGGTCAAGCGAAGAAGACGGAGAAAATAAATACCTAGCTTGTTTTAGCCCCTTTTCTTCCACCTTTATTTTTCTCTTTTTTTATTTTTTTTATAAATTTACATTTTGATCGCTAATATTTTGAAAATTCATAAAATTGATCCCGTGCATGTCGGAATCTCCTGTCGAGATTCCGGACTCACGAGGCGTGTCCGAGGCGTTGACAGCGTGTCGGAAATCCGACACCTGATTGACCGCGTGTCGGACGCGTTCGACAAGTGTGTCGGCATCGCACACCGACACGTTGGCCATTCCAACGTGTCGATGCTACATAGAAGATATACGGTAGTTTTTCTCCTGGTGCTCGAATTGGGGAGTTTCTTCCGGTTAAGAGAATTGGGATTTGAGTTGAGGAGAGAATTCAAATGAAGAGTTGGGGGAGGAGATGATGATGTTACTGTGCAAAGTTGAGTGGACGATCTTACGCCGAACCGACGTCCCTATCGCCCAAAAAGTAGAGGAAAATGGAAGAACAGCTGCTTTGAATTGTCGAATAAGACGCTCCATCGTCCGATAAAAAAGAGCCGATGCATTTTTGTCCAAGTCATTTCTATGCTGGTGTCCTGCAATCCTGAACATTCTGTGTTTGCTTTCAGGCTATTCATGTAGGGGCACTTATTATGCTCCGAACTACGTTGTGTAGTGACCAAGTTGATTTTATTTGTTAACCCGTTTGCCTTGTCAGGGAGAGATGTCGTCGGTCGATTCATGTGTATATGGCCACCATAGTTTCATATATCGCAGAGTGCCCTGGGAACTTTCGAAAATCATGCAAGTCGCGAAATGAAGTCTTCGGTAATCAACCCAAACCATCGGATCGAGGATGTGCATGTGTACATTTGTGTGTGAGGGTGAGGGTGAGGGTGGTGAGGGACCCGTTACAAACTGAATGATTGAGTGGTCCTGATCCACTTCCATCCGGAGCTTTGACTTTAATACGGTCCCAATGGACATTCGCCCTTTTAAAGTTCTATTTTCATTCGTAGGCCATAGGCCAATACAAAACCAGGCAGAAAGAGAAAGAAAGCGAAACAAAAAGAACGTTTTCCTCTCGCTAAAAAGGGAAAGAAAAACGAATAAAAATCAAATAAAACGGAAAAAAGGCTTTACAAGGCGATCTATAAAACAATTGATCCGGTTTTGATTCCTCGCCTCAATTAGTAATATCTTTAGGGTGCGTTTGGTCGTCAGGATCAAAGTCGGGATATGATTTTTTTTATCCTATCATGTCTTTGGTAGATCTTTAGGATAGGATAAAGTCGGATATAAAAGGGATAGAGCCCGAATAAAAAAATCCTAAGGGGGAGATGGGATAGACCCGGATAGGATTTCTCTTGTCTAGCTATTTTTCAGAAAACCCTACACTCTTCTTTTCTTTCTCCTTCGTTTACACACGCGACTCCTCTCACATCGAAGTTTCACGAAACCAAACTACGAAAGTAGCGAGAGTTGAAATGCCTTCTTCTCCGTAGCTCTAATTTGACGAATTGAAGCTCCATCTCGGTGAATTCGAGCTTCAATCCATGAAATCTGGTTGGTTACATATTGCTCGGTAGATATGTTGAAATTATCTGGAGGCAGTGAGTAAACGTAGTTTTCTCAATGGATCTCAGTACCCGCAACATTTTGCAGCATTTCACTATTAGATGGTGACGAGCTACTACTACAGAAGACTTTGCAGAGCGAATTAGGGTGCGCATGGCAACAATTCTGTTCCCGAAAATTAATTCTGCTCAGAAATGATTCTTTTTTATTCTGTACCCGGAAACAATTTCTAAGCATTTGAAGGCATTTGGTAACTGCCCAAAATTTCTATTCTTAAAATACAAAAAGAACAAAAATGCGTTTGGTAACTACACAAAATTTCTTTTTATTAATAATATTTTGAATTTTTTAATATTTCTTTCTCTTTTTTTTTTCTTTTTTTTCCTTTCCCTTCCCCTTTCTTGGCCATGGCTGGTCGAGCCTCGCCAGATCTGGGTGAGGCCTTGCCATCACGGCCGCAAGCCGCCCTCGCCGGCCCTGGCCCGTGGCCGGCGGCAGGCCAGGAAGAAGAAGAACAAACCGAAAAAAAAGAAGAAGAAAACCAAGAAGAATCAGAAATTGAAAAATTGTTCTAGAATCAAGAAACTACTTTTTGTTGCTTCTTCATTCTATTCCAAAATTGATTATGGGAACAATTTTTTGGAAAATTGTTCCTGGGCACAAAAAATTTAACAAACGAATTTCCGTTCCCAAACTGATTCTGAGAACAAAAGAACAGAAATTTTTACTATTTGGCAACTTGCCAAACGGGCCCTTAGCATCCTGCACGAAATCCAACCTAAACTGGCCATTAACTGGCAGTAGAGTAAAAATGCATCCATGAATTAGCATAGACAACGTGGAATTCGGGCAATACTTTGCCAAAACAGCTTCTCTTAACACCTTCAAAGTTATATAGTCCTCCAGCATCAACCAATTAGTTTTTCAACATGTGGGCCTTGTTCTTCATAGAATTCATGAGTTGCTACCCGGCCATTGACAGAAGCATCACCAACTATATCACGAGGTTCTCCTCTAGGCTTCCAAAATCCGCCTTCTGCCCCTTTGTTCTCCATTGAGTTCACGAAGCACCACATATTTTCTGCTAAGATCAATTATGGCTAGTAATGTTAGTCAGCATGTGCATTAGCGTAGCAAACCTTGTGAATTTGTGACTACAGTTTTTGTCATTTTTGGTCACGCAAAGATATTTTTATGATGATGAGATTGACATTATTTCATGGACACTATGTAGGGGTATATATGTCCTTTATATTGATATCCGGTTTCTGCCAAACAATGGATAAGATAGGATATAAAAATATCCGACTTTAAATCCGAAATTCACCAAATAATAGATAGGTTATGACAAAATCCCATGACTTCTTATCATATCATATCCAGTTCTATCTTGATTAGAATTCCGGACGACCAAACGTAACCTTAGAGTCCACTTCTTCCCCATACTATGAGTGAAATGGAAAAAGTGAACAAACAATTTGGAAATGTTAAGAAAGACAAGGGTGCGCTATGTAGTATTAAAAAGATTAGAAAGAAAGAGCCTTTAGTTTGGGCACGAAAAAAAGGTGCGTAGTTTTTCAATTCCCCTTTCGCTTAAAAGAAAACAATGGGAGTATTATCCAAAACGTCCTAAATCTATTGCACTCTTGCCAATTCAATCATAAACCTTTCAATTTTGCCGATTCGATCTTAAACATTTTCATATTATGCCAATTGAGTCCATTTGTCCAATTTTAGCTGGAAATCGCTGACGTGGATGTCGATTGTCTTATACGGCGTGGCCCACATTGACGTGAACAATTTTTAATGATATTTTAATATATTTTTCAATTTTTTTATTTTGTTTTTCCCTTTTTTTTCTTTTCTTTATCTTTCTTTTTTTTTTCTTTCCTTCTTCCTCCTCCAGTCCGTCGTCGAGTCCTAGTGAATGGCTAGAGGTGTGGGCCAGCGAGGTCGCTAGCCTCTAGCGAAGCTCACCCCCACTAGCCACTAGCGAGGGCGAGCCTCGCGCATGGGTGGGCAAGGATCGCCCAAGGCTGATAAGGTCCCTCTCTTCTGGTCAATCGTCGGCCATCGCCAACGCCTAGTGATCGGCTAGAGGAAGAAGAAAGGAAAAAAAAGAAAGAAAAGAAAAAGAAAAAAGGAAGAAGTAAATAATAAATCATTAAATTCAAAAACATGATAAAATATTATCAAAAATTGTCCACATCAGCGTCAACCATGCTATGTAAGATGGCCGATGTCCACGTCAGTGATTTCCGGCTAAAAAATTAATTATATGGACTCAATTGGCAAAATGTGAAAAGATTTAAACTTCATTGGTAAAATTGAAAGGTTTAAAACTAAATTGGTAAAAATGCAATAGATTTAGAACATTATGGACAATTTTCTCATAAAACAATAGTGGAAGCTCTTATAATCTAGTTCAAGAAACAGAGATTCTTGAAAGGAAGTCAAAATTAGTATGAAATAAAAACATCAAAATCCATGAAGAGATTAAAACAACTTTACAAAATTTCCTAGTCAGATTACGTGCAACTCTTAACTTGGGGATTAGTTCCACAACATCCTCAACAGTTGGATCATCAATGATCCAATTGCATCCATCTAATTCAACTTCACATTCGCCTTGTCACCCAGGCTCCTTTTTGTTTCGCGAAAAATGAATGAATTGAAATTTTTTTCTTAAAAATAATTACTTGTACTGCTTATAAAAATGAACAAATGGAAAATATTTTCATCATCCACGAAAATACTTAGACATAAATTATTATCAATAATCAAAATATTTTTTGTTTACTAATTATTTCAAACGATTCAAACAATCTGGATATAGCTCATTGAATCGCACTAACGGGTTTATGAAAGGTAGACAAAGAAGAAGAGAAAAGTAACGAGGAAGAGAGAGTGACGGAAGGGAGAAAGAGTAGGACCCATATTGCCACGTGTCGCCCAACGAATGGAGTGGCTTATTGGTGACGTGGAAAATTAGTCCTACCTAATATTTTCTCGTTTGTTTTCCAAATAGTTCATTTTTCGCAAAACAAACACACCCTAAGTAAAACAACAAATAGGTTGAAAACCCACTCATATATCACATAACTTCAGTACAACAAATTTGATAATAATAAACAAACCATCGATTGAATTGAAAGTCTCAAGAAAAATTTCTCCGGAAGAAGAGGAGAGAGCAAGTGGAGAGGCCGAAAATTAATAGTAGAAGAGAGGGATGATGCATCATCAGTTGAATTGAACGTGCCCAAAATAGAGAGATCTCATTTTGGACCATTGCTGGCCAATCATCATCTTCCCATCTTTCATGGTCTGGCTAGCCAAATCGAGTTTTTGACCTCAACACCAAATTTTCAATTAAGCAAAAAGCCCAACATATTGAAGCAGTTTATATGTTAACGTGAAGATGAAGAAGAAATATTAACAAGCCATGAATCATGTGATGTGGCGATGTGACAGGCACACTCACAATTCGGCAAATGCTTTTTGTACATCTTCAAGGGATGATGACCTCTCAAAACTGACTCTTACTCTAAATGTGGGCTTAATGTTAATGAGAGATCTGAACACTGAAGTCACTCTCTTTGCCAGTCAATCGCTAGCTCCTTTTGAGAGGCAACCTCTGCACGGACCTGAACAATAGGACTCATTATCAGCAGTGTTACTTTGGATGTACATGATCAGCATTGACCATGCTTCAGTAAACTATGGCATTCACTGAGACCGCCATCAAATTATGCCATAGACAGCTGCAACAATGTCGATATAGTTAAATAGCATTGGAATGCTAAAGTTTAGAAAAGTACTTTATCAATAACATTGACAAGCACAGCGATGTTTCATTAGTTCCTAATACAACATGAGATGCTCTAATTAATGACCAATGAAAACTCGTCATCTCACTGTGAAAACTAGCTTTTGTACATTTTTCATGCACAGCCTCTCATAATAAGCCAGAGCCAGCTCAAATTATTCTTCTAAGTCCATACTTCTAGAATTGTAAGTGCCAATAATGGTTTATGTCTTCTTTTGGGGCCTGGCTCAATCAATGAGTAAGAGATGCCTCTTCAAAGTGCTAAAGCAGTATAAATCCATTTAAAGAACAAAGAAAAAAGCTGCCAAAGCAGCAATATACAACCGTCAGGCAGAACTCATGCCATCTATCTACCTAGCGACAGGGTATTCAGATAAACCAAACTTGACGTCGTCTTAAGTTCCCCCAAGTTTCTGTGCAAGAAATGAATTTGGAGGTATAAGACTCTCAAATGACTTATCTTTTTTCCCTCTTTCAAAGGAACTGAATCTCAGAATCTGCACACCAGCAAATAAAAATTGCTGATCTTCGACAATAGAGCACCTCAAAATTATCACAATAATCAAATGCAGGAGCTATGATCAAAATGTGGATATTTTTTAATTCATGAATTTTAACTTGCAAACATATTGACAATAGAATGGAAAATCACTTTGCTCTCGAGTCTAGTTCTATCAAAAGGTAGTAGCTTTTATACTATGCATAAGCTGAAAGGATGCCAAGCTTGCGAACTTATAAACAATAATCGGCAATCTAAAGATCTTGAATAAATGGATAGAGCTTCAACAAGTTGGGAGAAACACAACCACAGTCCGAATTTTAGCAAGAGCCATAGATCTCATTCACTATTGACTTTTTTAATATTTCTAAAAACTTTTACCCACCACTAGTTTCATATTAGACGAAACTTCTAAGTCTGCCGGGACCACTTTGGTCTTATGGTTTCCAGTAGGAACAAGTCAGCTCAGATTACTCAAGCTGTAAATAGAACTGAGTTGACCTACTGGTTAGAACTCTCATTAGTGGTCACATCATCAATATTGTTCCTTTTTAATTCGAAGCAAGAGTAGGCACCAAATCACTCTCCTACAATCTATATATACAAAAATTCTGGGGAAGAAAACGGTGTTTATATTGCTAAGTGTTGGCTACTCACTTTGCTTGGCCATAACACAAACAGAAGGGTGCACAACAATTACCTCGCAGTAGAAAGTAGGATCTGTAATGCCACCAACATGAGATACTCTCAATCACCGTCACATGGTGCTCTTGCTGACACTGGAGACCCATGTGAATATCTCCACTGCTCACAAGCTGAACATCTCTCTAACTCGACACTGTTATCCAACGTGCAGAATTTACAGGACCAAGACTTGAATTTGGAGCCCTCATCCTTGAGCCTTTCTGAACCACAAAGCTTACAGATTGGAGCTAGTGGCTGCACGATATCACGACAAATAAAGCCAAATGCACATGTTATACAAGAGTTATAGAAGGAATGTAGCAAAAGAGATAGATTGCCCATAAATCTAGTTGATGAGATGAAAATGAAGGAATGCTAGTCACACCTCAAAGAAACTTTATTGACTGCATAATGTAGAACAAGAAAATGCACATTGGGGTGCAAACAAGTTATGGAGCTTCGATTAATTAACACACTATTCACATTTCACATGAAGCCAAATCTTCAAGTGAACCAACAAGGAAACAGCTTGTAAGGCAACACTCTTTAACACATCTACCAACTATAAGTAGCTCAGTTGACGGTTCAGTACTAATACCAAACGATGGGCAAGGAAAAGAGAAGTGCAACTGAACATGCAACCCTCAACCGGAAGGAAGAAAACAAACAGTGATTCATCAATCTAACAAACAAGAAAAACTTAGAAGGAGAAAACGTGCAAAAATTAAAAGACTGAAAGTATCAAAACAACATGGAACAGTTTATCTAATAAATCAACCACTGGAATTCATTTACCATTCATAATACTCACGGGATTTAATAAGGTGCATATTTCACATGCCCACATAAGGAGCTCAATTGAAGTATCTTTAGCAGTGCCCTTAAGCCCTGGCCGAGAAGTCAAATTGGATGACATGCTAGATGAAGCATTCCCCAAATGACATTTTGATTTAGAATACAGTACATTATCTGATTCAAATTTTCTTCTCTGATGTGCACAGCAGAGATCATCTGCTGCCCCACATGTCCCATCGTTCCCTGTTAAATCAACAAAATTCTGATCCACATCACTGCTGGATGATCGTGAAGCTGAAGCTTCATTCTCACGACATCTTTTCCGAGAGATCAAATCCGAAGGTTGGCTTCCTGCATTATCATGCCTGGATTTTCCAGGAATTTCGATCTCGTTCTCAATATTTCGCAGAATATCAGGGTTACTTTCTCTATCCCCACCCTCTTCCGATTGAGAACCACACCAGATGTCATCCTGCAATCTCCTTTCTGCAGCCATCGCAGCAGCTTGTGCTGGACTAAGTACCATGATGCTACTATCACCACCAAGACGCCTCGGTCCGGACGGTAGGAGCGAACCCAAATTTGATCTCCTCTCTGCAGCAGCCAGAGCAGTTTGCCGTAGTGATGAAACAGGTGGCTGTTTAGAGAAACCGCCAAGACGCTTCCCGGGAAGATCAAAACCCTGGCCGGTGCCAGTTATTCCCTTGGCCATCAACTCCTCGCACTCCTGTGATTGACATCGCAATGTACATCAAGCAGACTAGAGTATAAGCGAGGGCATCATGACAGCGCAATGCCCAAACCACCAAGTACATTTCGAAATATAGTACATCTATCCATAAAACCCGAATCCGGAGATGACTAGAAAGGACACCAAGACTTTTCCGACGACCCACCTTTCTAAGTTCATCCCAGAGCTTGTAGAACTTGGCGTCGTGAGGGCCGTGCGCGTTGTGGCAGAGCTCGTGCAGCATCGTGTCGAGGACCTGATCGTAAGGATAGAAGCAGTCGTCTCTGTTCGGCCTGCGAAGCCTCAGCTTCACATGCACGCCGCGACCCACATTCAAACCCAGGAGACGCGCATTCGTCGGGCTGCAATCAAACACACCACCCATTCATCATAACGAATCATCCCTCCTACCGATCACCAAAAGAGAGAGAATTTCAGCATTCCACACACACACAATACACACACGGATCACCATCCCAATCCTGGACAGTCCCAACCCACTTTCTTAATCGGCAATCACTCGTTTTGGGGCTGGCGGGCGAGGTGGAAATCGAAACGGAGAGCCGCAAGATCTCACCAGAACTCGGAGAGAAGCTTGACCCTCCACCGGCGCTTGCGCATGATGGGTTGAACCTGATGGGCGATCCGCTGGAGGATCTTCCGGGCCTCGTCTTCCGCAGGCTTCCTCTTCAGGGCCTTGATTTCCCACACCTTGTGGAGATCGCCCTGGTTCATCTTCTTCCTGCGGTCTCAGGAAGGAAAAAGCCCTAACTTTTACAGGCTAAGGGTTTCTTTCCGAAGCAGCCATGGCAGAATCTCGTGGGGGATTGAAATGTGGGGAGCAAATTGGCGCGATGGCGAGATTGGTTTGGTTTTCGAGTTGGGGTGATGTTTGGAAGCGGGGATAACGATGACTGTAGTAATAATAATAACAACAATATTAATAATTATTATTACTTTAGACCCGCACTATTTTCGCCCCTTATTTGTTCCTGACACTTATCATATTGAATTTAATATACTGTCTCTCAGTGAAGCGGGCAGCTTGGATGCCTTCCTTATTTTTATGTGCAAGTGCCCCCAATTGGTACAATGTATTTTTCGAGCCCGTTCCCGGCTTTACCCGCTAAGAGATGTCGAGGTCCACACAAGACCTCAAACGAAACAATTTAATGGCTTACTCGGGACAATAATTATTATTACTGTAGACCCGCACTATTTCCACTCTATTATCCGCTCATGACACTCCTATCATATTAAATTGATTAGATTATCCTTTGCGGGTCCCATTCTTGTAGGGAAAGTGCCACAAAAAATCCTAAAATTTGCCCGTTGTGACACATTTGCCCTAAACTATTTTTTGACACCAAAAACCCTAAACTTGTATTTGTGTGACACATTTATCTCAAACTTTTTTCTATGACACAAAAAATCCAAACTTATATTTGTGTAACATATTTGCCCTAAACTTTTTTTTGTGATACCAAAAATCCCAATTTTTTTTCCATGACACAAATTTTGGGGGTAAATGTATCACACGGATACAAGTTTGGAGTTTTTTGTGTCACAAGAAGAAGTTTATGATAAATGTGTCACATTGTACAAGTTTGGGATAAATGTGTCACATAAATACAAGTTTGGGATTTTTTGTGTTACAAAAAAAAAGTTTGAAGTAAATATGTCACACGGGTATAAGTTTGGGGTTTTTGGTATTACAAAAAAAAAGTTTATGGTGAATGTGTCATATGGGTACAAGTTTAGGATTTTTGGTGTTACAAAAAATAGTTTAGGGTAAATGTGTTACAGTGGACAAGTTTGAGGTTTTTTTTTGTGATTTCTTCCCTATTTATTAGATTAAATATGGGGTCCACTCTTGATTGAAGATTTTCTTGTGCCTTCTTTTCTTCTTTTTGATTTTTTTCCTTTTCTTTCTCCATTTGGAACAAAATTACTGTCCCTCTTTTCTGAAAACAATTTATTTAGTAGATAACTAAATAATTATCATGTTAATGAATTGTATATTCTCTTTGGTACTAGGAAACTATTACTAAAGAAATAACCTAAGCACAAGTAAGAGTAAAAAGAACCATTTACTAGTTTTAGTACTCATTTCGTTTAATTATAACTTCAATATGTGTCATCACATTATAGTCTATTTATTCTAACTTCTCTTCTTTCGTTTTATTAAGTGAATCTAATAGTCCAATTTTTAATTATTTTTCATGCCATTATTGCATGATGTTAAAAATATGACAAAGTTAAGTGCATAAAAAATCCTAAACATTCATTATAATCATGCAAATGCAATGCTCCCTAAAAAATTATTACAAATAAATCTTTGCCTTGATTACGGGGAATAATTAGTCATTGACAAGAAATTATGACAATTGTAATGACATTATAAGAAAACCCTATCAAATCATTCATAAACACATTTTTTGGCCAATTCTAAATGCATCGGACTTCTCATAAAATCATTAATGAAAAGAAAATTATTTTCAAAATACAAATTACTGTAATAATAATAGGTTGCATATGCAACATAACAAAAGAGATTGTCCGTTCAGCAGGTTGCTCTCTCGAAATTGAATCAAACAATAAAATTTTTTAATTACATCAATAAGAGAGACATTATTCACTTAAAACAACATATGCCAATGAATAATTTTCAATGTTATAGTGCAAGAAGTTCCAAATGAACTTATTAATATGATTATTGTTCTCCATTCGCAGTTTCATCATCAATATGTACATTTAAACAATTTGGGTGCTCTCAATATTGTCCTCCATAGTGAATACACTTTAAAAAACGATACAATGGAAGATGAGAGAATTGTGTATAATGTATTCATCAACCATAATATTCAATCCTTAAGTAAATTCTTGTAAATTTGTATCTAAAATCAAAGTCGAAATATAAACGATCATGAGGATTATATGAGGAAACAAAGTAAATAATTGGTGGAATAAGTTTAGCAGAAGACAAACATGAAGGAAATGTTAAAATGTAATGGGTGTGGAAGAAGTAGCTAGAGTGAAAAATAGGTTTTTTGAAAGGGATGTGGGTAGTTTTGCTTTTAATAAAATCGAAACAAAAGAAAACGAAGAAAATGTTGGAGAATCTCTAAATAAATTTTGATGATGCCCACACTATTCTTGGTATAATATCTACATTGTTTAGTGCAGATATATTTAAATGACGAAGTGATGCTAGAGTGAAAAATAGGTTTTTTGAAAGGGATGTGGGTAGTTTTGCTTTTAATAAAATCGAAACAAAAGAAAATGAAGAAAATGTTGGAGAATCTCTAAATAAATTTTGATGATACCCACACTATTCTTGGTATAATATCTACATTGTTTAGTGCAGATATATTTAAATGACTAAGTGATATTTATGGTGTGATCCATTGAAAAGAAGATCACAAGATGTCCTTGAAGTTTTTATGTAAACAGCACCAACGAACTTAAAAGATCAGCTACATGACGATATTTCATTGAAGTTGAAGAAAATCAGGTCATTAGTAATGTTAGGATAACGGATCATTGAGTATGACCGTTGTCTCATTATTATAACCGTTGTCGACTGGACATACACAACAGAAGATTCAAAAAATAAGAGAATAGACTATTTGATAGTATGTCAGAGCCATAGCTACAAAATAGCAGCATAAGCTATTTCAAGAAGTCTGCAAATGTTTGGAAAAAGGCTGTATGGGCAACTGGTTCCTCGGACAATAGCACTAACGGACTCTAACGGCTATCCTGCTTCTCCAAGACATCCTTAACGGTTATATTGAAAATGCCTATAAAAGAGAACATCTTTGAAGTTAAAAAGTTAGATAGAGAGAAATAGACACACGTTCATACGAATTCTAGAAATCTGCTACTCGCTGTATTCTTAGCAAAAAGCTCTTACTTGTCTGTAATACTTGCTGCCTTGTAATTGTGCTGAAAGATCAAGTGCACCAAGTGATAGCAGCACCCAATTCTTGATAATGTGATCTATCGTCTGATAGGGTTGGTGTATGCTAAGTGTAACTTATTCAGTAGATTATTAGTGTATTCCAGCTCGACTTGTGGCTATTAGTGATGAGAGTGGACGTAGACTTGGGAATAAAGCCGAACTACTATATATCTTTATGTGCTGCTGTTTATCTTCCTGTTAATCTTCTTAAGCACACAATCAGGTCACCGTCTGTCACATAGCTGGTTAAACCCAATATTTACTTAGCACCAGCTGTTTTTCGCAAAAAGTTTGAAAAACCATTGAAACAACCTATTCACCTCCCTCTAGGTTGTATTGTTAGCACCAATAGGAAAAAAGTAAGAAATAATCCTAAATTGAGAGTGGGACTCACAAGGAATAATGTAGTCCATTCAATGTGATAATAAGGTGTCAGGAGCCAATAAGGAGGTGGAAATAACAAGAGCCTTACTTTATATGTTTTGATTTTAGTTATTGCTGTTATCAAAAAATTATAATAACAATGTTATAAGTCGTTATTTCGAATTCTAGAGAAGCTAATATAACTTTTGTCGCGCCGCGCTTTTGGCACGCTAAGGAGGTACTTCCATTTGTCATGAATGGGAAAATTGTCCTCGAATGAGCTATTAGGGTCCGATGCGGATATTTCGCTCAAACGTCCCATAGACATCCAATTACTAAATAAACGGGGGCCTCTCCCAGACCATACCTCACATGATAGCAGGTTGTGATTTTTTTATCTTTTTATTTAGTCTGAGTTTTAATTTGGAATCGCCACTAGTTATTATTGGTAAGTTGACTAAAAACCTAATCAGGGTACGGGAGAAAAATACCACGATTCTGCGAACCAGAGATTCTGAATACGGGGACTTAGTTATGCTAATAATCCCAAGTCGAGATCCCTAATGCCCTTTCGGTACTTAAAACGATATGATGTGTTTAACGTGCCACACGAGTTTCCGAGGTCTATCCACTAATTCTAACTATCCTAATCGCAGGAATTCAATCAATCAATATAAGCAACACAATCAATGGCAATCAAACAATACAATATTAATTTGGGTCTCTAAAATGAAAATCAATTCAAAAACACCCAAATCCTAGTAAAGCCCTAAAGGCTTATTCATTCGATGATATGTGTCATTTTAGGGTTTAGGGTTTTTTAGGGGTAAAAAACCCCTAAACTAAGGATTTTCTAAAAATGCCGGTTAGGCACCTCTAAAATTTCTAATTTCACTTGCAAAAGTTGGCCACAATGTTTTTGGGTCATTATGTGAATCTTTGATATTTTTGATTTTTTTTGGAAAATAATTTTCTAAGAATTATCCCTTCCGAGAGTTGATTTTTATGTTTATTAAATTTTTTTATTTTTAATTTCTTTTTTTGGATTTTTGAAATTTCTAATTTTTTTTTGTATTTTTCTGCATTTTCCACATTTTTTATTTTGGTTTTTTGGATTTTCTGAATTTTTATAGAATTTTCGATTTTTTTTATGAATCTTTTGAATTTCTGAAAAAAAAATTGAATTTTTTGAATTATGAATTTTTTTATAATTTTTTAGAATTTTTTTATGATTTTTTATTTTTTTTAAAAAAAATTTCCCGTCAGGGTTTGAACCGAACCGAACCGGTTCAGACCAGTCCGGCCAAGGCAAACTAGCCGGCACCGGCGCCGGCAACTGCTCCGATGGGCACAGCATTAAAACGACGTCGTTTTCTTCGTTTTTTCGGTGGGGCATTTCCCTAAACACCTATTGTGCTTGTATTCTTGTTTTGTGTTATCAAGACCGTAACTTCTGATCGAAATCTGACGACCTTCCAGCAGTATTCCGGTGCCAATTTTTTATTCTGGATTATCCTCAAATCACCACCTATCATTCTAATCTGATCAACTCGCCGTCGGACCATCGCCGG